GATCTGATAGAGGGATTTCAGTGGACTCAGAATTTGAAGCCATTTACCTGTTAACACAACAAAATTCCAAAATTAATCAACCATGATTAATTCAAATATAATCGACTATATTAATTCAAACATGAAACAAAAATGGCATAATTAATTCAAAGGTTACATGTTCAAGTTGCTCTTTTTCGTTTCCTTGACTTGGGTTTTTTACTTCCCCCTCCTTGAAATATTTTCTTCTTATACTGAAATAATTTACCCCTCTTTGAAATCCAAATGCCTTCATTGTGATCATTTCTCATGTATAGAGCTTCATCAATAGTGTCGTTACTTTGATTTGATGTCCTTTCGAATGGGTCATCTTCAATTGCTACATTTTCATTTATTTTTTATGTAACATAAGAATAGACCACCCCTTATTAGCAGGATCAGGGACATAAAACACTTGTTTGGCTTGTTACGCTAAAATAAAAGGCTCATCCTTATACCCTTCCTTGTTTAAATTGACTTGTACAAAGCCAAATTGGTAATCAAATTTCAAGCCATTTTTTTGATTAATCCACTTGCACCCAAAGACTGGAACTCGAAAGGATATGTAATCTAAATCCTATATATGCTCAATTACACCAAAGTATGACATATTTGCATAGATAGAATTTTTATCCTTAGTGCTGGAAATATGCATGGAATGAGCTACAAGAGTTACACCACTATTTTACATTGTGCTCCTATTATCTTGCTCCCTTGTATAAAATGTGTATCCGTTGACAAGGTAAGCAGTGTAAGAAATGGCCTGTTTGCTTAGACCGTTAGCTAACCATCTCAATTTGTTAGAAACTGAATTGGAATTAACATTTAACTTTTGAAGAATGTGCTCCTTAAACCATCTTGTAAAAGTTTTGTTGTGTTCCCTAGCATACCAAATTTCTGATTTATGGAGATTGTCCCTCCTAAGTTTAGCCATATGCTTGTCTACATACTCTTCAATCTCTTCAGTATTGTGCAACACATATAAGTGGGCTTGCTCCCACTGTACACTTGACATAGTAATGACTTTGTTTCCCATGATCCCCTCTCCACTTATTCTACCCATATGTCGAGACTTTGGAAGCCCAACATAGCTAATATGACTCAAGTATTCAGTATAAAAGTCAATAGCCTCTTCACAAATATACCGTTCAATAATACAACCCTCCAGTCGACTTCAATTTTTCATATAGCCTTTCAAAATCTTCATATAGCGCTCAATAGGATACATCCATCTTAAATAAGCAGGCCTACACATTTGAACATCCCTAACTAAGTGAATAGTTAGGTGGATCATAATATCAAAGAATGCCGGTGGAAAATACATCTCAAGCTCACATAGTGTTAATACAATTCGAGCTTGCAACCTTGGCAACTTATGTGGGTTAATCACTTTACTGCAAATGGACTTGAAAAACAAATATAACTTAGTGATCGTCCCTCATACTTTAGGGGGTAAAATTGCACGTATAGCAACTGGAATGAAATCCTCCATTAAAACATGGCAATCGTGAGACTTTAAGTCCTTCAACTTCAAATCTTTCATTGATACAATATTTTTTATGTTTGAAGAGTAACCCTCAGGAACTTTAACTATATTAAGGAACTCAGAAAATGCAGTTTTCTCTTTCTTAGATAGCGTATAAACTGTCGGAGGGAGAAAGGTACGGTTCCCCTTATCTTGAGGTGCTAATTCTTCTCTTATTCCTAAAGAGACCATGTCCAACCTTGCTTTTATGCCATCTTTTATTTTTCCTGACACTTGGAGTAAAGTCCCAATAAGACTCTCACAAACATTTTTTTTAATATGCATGACATCAAGAAAATGCCGAACATCCAAGGTGGTCTAATAAGGGAGTTCAAAGAAAATAGATCTCTTCTTCCATCCGGTTGTCCCAAGGTGCCTTGCAAATGGTTTGCCAAATTCAATATCCAAATCTTTAATCTTCTCAAACAACTCATCACCAGTTAACGGCAAAGGTGTCTTACCTTCTTCTGGATTTCTATTGAATGCTTTTCTCAACCATCGATAATGATGTTCTTGGTGTAAAAACTTACGGTGGCCGAGGTAAACATTCTTCATCCCATGCTGAAGCCTCATAGAATGTGTTCCCTCTTCACAAATAGGGCATCCAAGTTGCCCTTTAATGCTATACCCTGACAGATTGCCATAAGCAGTAAAGTCATTGATTATACCAAAGAGCATAGCTCTTAAATTAAATCTTTCTTCTCTATACCCATCATATACCTCTATACCTGACTCCCACATGATCTTTAAGTCATCAATTAGAGGAGCCAAATATATGTCTATGTTATTCCCAGGTTGCTTGGGTCCCGCAATTAGCATGGACAACATCATATACTTGCGTTTCATACAAAACCATGGAGGAAGGTTATAAATCACTAAAATGACTGGCCAAGTGCTGTGGCTACTACTTTGAATCCCATGAAGATTCATCCCGTCGGTAGACAATGTAAGGCGTAGATTCCTACTATCTTCCCTAAATTCAGGGCACTCATAATCAATCTTTCTCCATTATGGAGAATCAGCAGGATGACGAAGCATGCCATCTTTTATCCTTTCATCCGCATGCCATGTTAAGTTTTTCGCAATTTCTGCACTGCTATACATGTGTCTAAATCTAGGCACGATTGGAAAATACCATAGTGCTTTCGCAGGACTTGATCCGTTCTGCTTGTAGCGTGAGGCATTACACTTCGGACACTCGGTTAACAATGCATATTCATTCCGAAATAAAAGGCAATCATTAGGGCACGAGTGTATCTTTTTATAACTCATGCCAATTGATCGCAATACTTGTTTTGCATCCTATGTTCGACAAGGAAGCTCATTTTCCTTAGGAAGTAATTCTACTTTCAAATACCCAAGCAACTCAGTAAAGCTTGCATTACTCCATCCATGTTTTGCCTTCATGTTGTACAATTTTAACACTGTTGACAACTTTGATGCACTACAACCAGCATACAATGGTGTCTCTGCATCACTTTTCAACTTTTCAAACATTTTCGGATAATCCTCGAGGTCCTCTTCAACTGCTTTGGCCATCTGTTCAAGACAATCTTCCTCAAGTGTGCATGTGTCAAAATCATCAGGAGATGATGCACAGCTTTCACTATGCTTCTAGCTGCAACCAATATCATCTCTTGTCTCTCCATGCATTGTCCAACACTTGTAACTTTGATCCATCCCATTAATCACTAGGTGTTCTTCACAAGTATCTGGACTAACCCGCTTTACAAGACCACACTTTAAACATGGGCAAACAATCCTAGTAGGATCCTCCGCATGCTTAACTGCAAGCTTAACAAATTTGCCACCGCATCCCAATATTCCTTGGATAGACGATTGACAGACATCCATTCCTTATCCATAATTCCTAGAAAGATTAAGAGGGAAATATGATTAGTGACTTTGACTACTCCTAGATAGTGGGAGAATTAGATACAAAGATCAATTAGTCAATAAGTCACTAACCACATGTTTGCACATTCCCTCTTTAATCTTATTTAAAACTAATAATTATATTTTAATGCTAGCCATTGAAATAATTTCGGCAGCATAACAACTTAAAAAAGAGAGTTTCCCGAGCCTTATCCCCTCTTCTTATTAATCTAAATGACAACAACAACAGCATCCACAACAACAAACACATAAAGTTATATTCAAGAATAATTTAAAAAAAATTAATAGTATATATAACGGCTTAAAATGAGTATTACCAAGTCCTTATGCCTTTAAAAAAATCAAGTTATCCATAATGAGACTATATATGATCCAACGACAATAATAACAACATTAATAAGAAACTCAATTTTAATTAAAATCATATTAAACCACATCAAACACTATATAAATATCAATTTAAAATATCAAAAATATTAAAAACAAGGTAATTAGGTGGTATACTATTTTCATATCCTTAATGAATCTCCTCATATCAACAAAATAATTGGATGATCCCTTAATTCAATAATTAAGTACCCAAAAACTCAAAACTTCAAACACTCACTGGGAAGAACAACAATGCAGATCAAAATAAATAACACAAAAATTATTTATTACGTATGAAAATCAAAATCAACAACCCATACATTCAAAATGAAGATTAATGATTGGGAAAGCAAGAACCTACCTCAACAAGAAGAGGGAACACTGACTGTGCAGAAAAACAGAGACGAGAGTCTGTTGCACAGTGATAAAGACCGAGAATCCAAACGAACGAGTGCCTACGAGACTTATGGAGGCCGAGAATCAAAAACCCCTCAAGAATCGAGACCGAAAATATGTTTTTTGGCAGTTAGAGTGATGAAAAATGGATTTCGATGGCTCTGGGTTTGTTTCTGAAGACGAAGGATTTGCAGAAATGGAGAGCGAAAAAGAAATCTGGAGGAAATTTAAATAACAATACTTGATGGTTATTTCATAATAACCATCAAGTATTACATATATGACGCTTGTTTTAAAACAACCATCAAGTATATGACAGACAAACTTGACGGTTATTTCAAAACAAGCATTAAGTATGTGAAAAAATTTAATTTTTTTTTCTACTATTAATTTGATGTTTGTTTATTGAAGACCGACGTGTAAATTTTAACTTTATGTGATGGTTATTTATAAAAAACGTCAAATATATATACTTGACGGTTATCTTACTTAAATATTTGACACTTGTTTCGTAAAAACTGTCAAGTATTCTCTACCTTTTTTATTTGTCATTTTTTTCAAATAAACGTCAATTGTAGGGTGTCAATTATACACCTTTCTGTAGTAGTGCAGTCCCTCTATATCTTATTTGTCTCGTCATTTCATTTGAATCACGTCAATCAAAATTTAGCATGAAATATAAACAAATTAAGAAAAACATGGACAAAACCAAATCACAGGTATATATAATATATAGGTGAGTTTGACCAATGAGAATCTAAATCCTTCAGAGATTAATACATGGCCCATCAATTCCGAACCCTTCGATATTTTTCTCTTTGTAGTATTGCACAATCACCACCACGGAATCACAACTCAAATTCAAAGATGATGACGAGGAAGTCTAGGAAAGAATGGTGGCCTAGGCGGAGGAGATGGATTGGAGTTCTCGTCATGATTGAATGGATTAATCGTATACATAGTCTGAACGACAGTCAACGCAAACAGAAATATTGCAGCAGCAAGAGACACAATCGCCCATGGATTCCTGAAGTAAGTTTCAATGAGATCAGCTCTCCACTTATTCCATGGCGTCTTGCAATATCTACACACACTCACTTGCACTATATCCAAACCTCCTTCACGAGCCACTGCGAGATCTCTAGACAATGAGTTGAAAAGCTTCGCCACAGCTTTGTCACTTCCAAGAGCATTCTGTACAATCCCTTTCTGTTTCAAAATCACTACATCAACTTCGTTATCGATGATGTTATCCATGAAGAACACGAATGAAGAAACCTCGTTGCCTGCTCCAACATGCATGCGTTCAAAAGCTATGAGGTTAAACGACGTTGTGTCGGTGAAATCGTCTACGACGATTGAAGGAATTCTGAGGATTCCGGCGGCGCCATCAAAGGAGACATCTTTGAGGCTGTGGCTTTTGCTTGGCTGGAAGACGATGCCGGATTCTTGAAGCTCTCTTGCAGAGGGAATGATGAGTTCATCATCTTCTTGTTGGAGTTTGGTTGATGCGATGATTTGTTTGGGAATGATTGTTGGGTGAGTGGGTTCGTGCTGAAGAAGGCTTTTTCTGAAGAGATCTAAGATGTGTAAGCATTTGCCGAAGCTTTTGTGGATTGGAATGTGGGCGCATAAGAACTTGAGGATTAGCTTGTTCAAGAACTCTGGGTCCTTTGTATGATGATCCATATATACAACATGCGTTGAGTCAGATAAAGGGAATAAATTCAGTAAAAAATAAGGACAGATAATAAACAAAACGGCTTCTTTATTTGAATATATAACAAATATTAATATACTGGACCATTGATTTAATTTGAGGAATATAATAATGGCTTGTTTTAAAAAGGCCATTTTGACTAAAAGCCAATTGGAGTCAACCTCGAGATGCTTGGTTATCACTTTTTTATTTCAACACTTTGATGCCTCTAAAAGGGAGTAGTAAATATTTCTTCATGGCTAATAAAACAGGAAAAATGCCATTAATTGTTGCTATGAAAATCTAAAATGACATGCATGTAATATGAAACAATTTTTTTCTTAAAATAACAAATATATATACCTGGTTATTGTTTCCATCAAATTCAAGCAATATCTCAAGAACCGCCATGGGAATCTGATTCTCAAGCATGAGCATATCACGTCTGATATAGGGCATTACATGCAATCTTCCATGGCCACTAAAAACAGGATCATTATCTGCATAATCACCACCATTATCATCACTATCTGCAAATCTTAGCACTTCAAGCGTGAAACACCCATCAAGAATCATCATCTTCAAGAAACTATGACTCTTATTCTTCCATCGATCATCATCAAATGGCTTGTAAGAGTCTTTCAGATCTTCTTCCACTTTCGCCATGCTTTCAATCAGCAACTCCAATGGCTTCCCGTTACACCTCCTCAGAAAGTGAACCAGAGCTCTATGCTTGTGCTCTTCCATGGCTACCAGATGATTCTTCATGTAATGGTATGGGCCAAACGACACCGTTTGGGGGCTGTAAGCCTTCTTGTTCAGGTCTGCAACACAGGATGGTATTGCGTAAATGCAATGCTTCGTCCATTTTTGAATCTCCATTGATGAAGATTCATGGCTCTTGAGCTTCTCGTTTATTTGAAGCACCCACGCCTGATCTGTTTCTAAATCCATGTGTTTTGAATTTTGATGATAACAGTGTTGCTCTAATTTGAGATGTGTTTATAGTGTGCTGATGCATGTGAGGAGCAAAGATAAACTCAATTATAAATATGTAATCATGATTTCTTAATCTACTTTACGTGTCCTAAAATTCCTTTCCTTCTGATTGTTGTTTGTTAAATTATTGTATGGTTTCTTAGTTGGCCGGTTAGCTCTGCTCTTTATGTACTCACATGAAGATAAGAACAAAGGTCGCCAGAGGAATAGGAATGCATGCTACTTTTTCAAGCTTTTTCTATGTAGTTTTGCCAAAAAAAAAATTGATGATTAAAATTAAAACTTGAGAGCTGGGATCACATAAAGTCCTTATATAATTTACACACACGAGCAAAGCAAAAGGAAGATATGGTGCCATGTTGATCCCATTCTTGACTCTTAAGCAATGAAGTCAAGTCTTGCAAGAAAGACATGGAACCAAGAATTCATGTTGTGGTTTAATTCACATGAGCTATATTTCATAACGGATTCAATAAATGTAAATATATCGTTAATTATTCTCATTTTTTTGAAACATACATGTGCCTACCTATATATACATTTAATACGGAAGAAGTCCCTTTTTTTATTTTTAAGTATGTGTATTTTCTTTTATTATATTATCTTTAAATTACTTAAACAATAACCTTATTTGATTGATAATCGATCAAATTAGATCTTTCTTATGTGTCTCAAACAGTGCTACTTCTGATAAATATTGCTTAAATGGTGTCCACATTAGAACACATACATCATAATTTATATGGAAATCCATTAAAAAGTTAAAAATAAAAAAAAGAGGGGAAAATGATTTCTAAAATAAAAAAATCACTTCAACTAGAAGCCAGATTGATTGAAGGTGCCACAATGAAAGCGAAGGGATACGAGAAAGCATAATACCCTTAGGCCTTAACAAATCTCATGAATTACGACTTAAAATAAAACAAAATTCATTTCGCTAAAGAGTTTGCACTAACAAAAGTAAAATCTTATGCTTAATGCAATACCCAAAACAAATAACAAACTCAAATCCAGCCTCTAATATAATAATTATGTTGGTCCAAAGATGAAACAAATAACAAATTCAAATTCAGTGTTTAATAAGAAGCCATCATAGAAAGCAAATATAATTATGTTAAAGACTGAATTATTTTTTTTAAAAAAATTTATTTAAAGAAGTGTATTTTGAGTCCACATGTGTGTGTGACTTTACAATCAATTAATGGTTGCATAGATATATAGAAATGAAAAATTAGAAGTAGAAAAGAGGTTTAGGTTTTGTGACTATTGATTCTAGAAAAGGTTCAGATAGGTTTTACAAATTTAGAGATATATGTAATTAAGATAAAATAAAGGAAATGTCATATTCTTTACTACAATATAATGTGATTCATATAGTCCACCTCACATTGCTTGGTTGGAGACTAGACTCTTATGCTATGTTTGGTTGGAGAGAAAAGTGGGATGAAGTAGAGGCGAAAACAAGGGGGGGAATTAAAAACCTGTAGACTTTTGGAAAGGATGAAAATGAAATATATTAAAAATTAAAAAATTAAAAAATTAAAATATGAAAAGAAGATAGATCAACAATGTTCATGAGGGGAGAAGTATTTTAATTAGTCCATATGACTGGAAGTCAAGATTTATGAAATTTTTAGAGCATGGTAATTTTCCTACATTTTTAATACTGGATTTTCCCATAGGGGAAAGATGATTTCAAAATAAATGTTCCATACATTAGCTTATCATATTAAAATGGAGACTTTTATTTTTGTTATCAATTATTTTTTAATATATTCTATTCTCAGTCTTTCCAAACAGTCAAACGGCTTGTTATAATTTTTGCTTAGATAAAAAGAAAAAATTAAGGGAAAATAACATGTGAGACCTATATTTTTTTTGGACTTGACGATCACTATTTTTTCCTTCCACTTCCTCTCCATTTTTAATCTCAATCCTTAGATCAACTTAAATTTTCAATGATTTAAAATTTAACATTTCACAAAATTATTTTTAAAATTTGAAATTATGAAAAATAAATAAGTAAATTTAAACAACAAAAGGAAGATTTAAAAGAGAATGAAAATTATCATCCAATTATCTTCTTATTAGATGTTTCCATGTCTTAGACAATTCAATTAGCAAAATAGTGCTACAAAATTAATACTACTTGCCTAGATCATCAGTTTTTTGGAAGCTAAATTTGTTGCAATTGGAGACCACATCATGATGCAAAGAAGAAATAAACTAGGGGGAGCCAAAATCTATTTTAAATTATTTTACAAAGAAAAAATAAAATTTTAAAAATAGAAAGGAAGTTTAAGTAATTAAGGTAAAATAGCAGGGAGATTTGTGTATTTTATTATAATTATAATTATAACGTTAAAAAATAATAAGAGACTCAGGACTGTGGAAACATCATCAGTAGCTTGTTAATTCTATTGAGTATTTTCCTAAAGTATCTCATCACCCAAACTGATAGTCTCTCTTGCACCTTGATTGAGAAATACTTAAGTAGATTGGTGCACTATGTCATTTCTGATATGTCAAAAAACATAACATTTAGATAGCATTAAATATAAATTAATTTTAATATTAATGATAGTAGAAAAAGAAAATGCAAGAACTCAAATATGCATTCTATTATAAAAATAAAATCAATTTAAAAAAATATTATATAAGATTTTATTTAGATTACTTGAAATATTTTAATTGGACAGACTACAAAATGATATAGTATACTCAGTCTACTTAAGTATGTCTCGCCTTGACGAAGGATTCAAAGATATCCACAATCACTTGAAGTGAAATCCTAACTAGCAGATCTTTAAAGATTTGCTAATATCTGGCACAACTATAAAAATAAAAAAAAAATCACGAAACAATAAATTACTTTCATCATTACAACTCTATATGTAAAAATTTTCTACTTTTCATAAACTTTTCAATCAATAAATTTCTTTTCATAAAATTTGTAAACTAATGAAAATCTCACACTAACTTATCATTACTTTTGAAGCAATATAGGCCAAAACGCACACATAATGAAAGAAAGTACAAACAAAAAGCACTATTATTAGAGGAATAATTCATTTACAAAGAAATCAAATCTTCAAACTAGAAATCATAATAATATTTCTTCTGTCAAAGAGAAACAGTTGTTGCACCAAGGCCACATGACTGAAGGGTAGGTGAAAAAGAAATGAAGTCCAAATTAAAATCCCTTTCAGATCCAAGCATGCTAATATGTTCAAGCTTCGTCTTCTTTCTTTCACCAACTAAATCATACTTATACACATTCGATATAGTAGCAAACACCAAAGAATTCCCATTCATAATTGTAAATTCTACAGCAAGAGAACCCAACCCAAATAATTCTTCCAAATTTATTGTCAAATGCCTTGACCAAGAACTCGATTCATAATTCACCAACACCCATATGGTAAAAATTAGACCCTTGAATAATGTCACAAAACATATTGACTCATCATAAACTTTGCCCCACTTGAAAATCCCAAATTCGAAGTCAAAATGACCAGGATACTCAAAGGCTTCTAATGGAAGTCTAAGGAATCTTGACGTGCCACTCTCAAGATGGTGAACTGTCATGCTTACTGGAGTAATATATTCACAATTTAACATTAAGTGAATGGCCCCCTTATGGATTAAAGCAGGGTCACATATCTTGTGGTTTCCCCAACACATTCCATCAAAGAAGCCTCCTCTTCTTTATCACGCTCCAAAAATAGAGGGTGACCGGCATGGGTGCGAACTACATTGCACATTCTCATAGGCCTCAAAGTAAAAATTCATTTCATTTTGCTTTTAAATAAACAAGTCATGTGAAAATTCTAACACTTTTAATACTAGCTGTCAAAGCAAAGCTTCAAAGCTTTTATAAAAATTTTGACAGAACCTCCTCTGCAAAAAAAGTCTCTCGAAAATTCTTTAACATAAAAAAAATTTCACAAAATATAATATTAATCAAGAACTTAGCTCTTTCCAGCTAGCAAACAATATATAAAACAAAATAAAGTTCTCACAACAATCTATGTGGAGCAACTACTCTTTTCTCTAAATTAAAATACATAAGACTTAAATATTTACATTAAAAAGTAACAATACCAAGCCAAATTTCCACCCAATATTGCCCTTTTGAGGTCGACGATAGGATCAGCATCAACTAATAAATCTGAGACCAAAATAAATTTTTCAGTGAATAGCATCCCTAAAACCGAATTTAAAAGAATTAAAATAATAAACTTAAATAATCATGTAAATAATTGAAAAGATGATAATCCAATATAATAACTTCATAAATCTATAAATCATAATCATAATCATGAAATGAGAGTAAAGTGAAAATACTTTATTCTATCCTTGTTAAAGAAAACAAATTACTTGTACATAAATAATTAAAAAATACAATTGCTAATTAAAGCCATTAGAATTTCAAATAAGTGAGTTTCAAAATTCAAATTTTTGAGGACTTAATAGAACAAATAACAAACATGGACACACAATCCACGAGGGTAAGGATAACCAAACGCGGCTTATGCCACGAAAACAAACGTGAATATACAGTCCACGAGGATAAGTAATCAAACGTAGCCGAAGCCACGAAACAAATGTGGACATATAATCCACGAGGGTAAGTAACCAAACACAGCCGAAGCCACGAAACAAACGTGGACACACAGTCCACGAAGATAAAGCTAACCAAATGCAGCTTGAAGCCACGAAATCAAGATTGGGTGCAAAGCTCACGAATCAAAAACGTGAGAACAAAGCCCATGAGACAAACTAGCTAGTTATTAACCACAGCGCGCTACGAGCTAACGGAACTGCCGTTAGCAGCAGTGTTCTGTTTAAAGTCCTCTTGAAAATCACATTTCAAACATGTGAGAAAAATAATTATT